GCCCCAGGCGGGTGGCAGCGAGCGCCCCACCTACCGCGGCCGCGACTCGGAGCCCAGGAAAGGGCGCTGCGCCGGTGGGGAAGAGGGGACGGGGCGCTGAGCCCGCGCGCGGGGACACGTGGAGGCAGCGGTGGGGAGCGCAGCGCCGGGAGCCGACCCATCGCAGCTTGCGGGGTCACCCAGGGAAGGGAGACGTGTGGCCAGGCTTTGAGTTTCACGTCTTCCCGATGTAAGAGGCGAAGGAAAGGCGCGGGGTTTGCAGTGGGGGCTCGGGGTGGGAGTCTCCCAGCAATTGAGAGAAATACGTGGAGGCGGTTCTCCGAGCCCCACGAGGAAAGCTGTGCAGACGCTGCACCGCGCGCAGTGCCCACAGGGGTCCGAGGAAAGCGACCTGCTCTCTACCCTCAAACGAAAGCGAATAATACGAATGGGTGGCGGCGGGATGGGGTAGAGACTGGCTCGCTGAGGAGAAAAAACGTGTTGGGCAGGTTGCACTCCCGAGGGACCTGGAAACCACTCCAACTTCTTAAGCAGCAGGAAACCGTGGAAGGGCGTGGAAGGGCGCGGGAGTGATGGGGCTGCCTGGAGTACGCGCAGTCAGGCAAAGGGGGAAGAAATAAAGCCAGTGGTGGCTCGGTGTATTCCAGATGAACGTAGGTCGCATAGATGTAATCTCCGCAGAAAGAACCGAATGAGTGACTCATAGGTTTTCATTCCGGGGAGCTAGAGAGGAGGGAGGAGAAAGGATAGATGGTCTGGCTTTATCCTTGTTGGCGCTTCTTATAGTCAGGGAGCAATCTGAGGGTCCGATGAAAGCCAGGAACCCTCTCCCCAGAAAAATGCATGAATGCACATGCATCTAATTTGGGGGCCAGGGACCCATTAAAGCCCATTCATAGATTCTCCAAGAGTTAGTTAATCCCATGATCTGTATGTGTGTGCGTGTTTTAAGGCAAGACTCCCAATAATTTGCCTCCAGTCGGGCCAATCTGTCTACCTAGAGTACTTGATCAGAGGTATCCACCCACAGTTGCCGCTTGCTGGCTTGGTGTGAACCCTGTAGCTCTGCAGGGTTTCATGAAGTTTTATTTTCTTAAGACTATGGATTCCCCCCGACCCCATCTGAGAATCTGACTTATGTTGGTGACCTGGCCGGTTCCTCTCATCTCCCTAGCCAGTGTGCCCAGTAGCTAGCCGACTGGGGCAACTCGACCAAAACAGTGTGAAAGTGAGATGCAGCTTTAGTTAGAGCCCAGCAAGTGCAGAGAACTCTGCAGGCAAGACCTCCAAAGCTCACCACCCACAGCCTCGTTTTTGACCTCACAAAGGTATTGCTGCCATTCTGCAGCTCCTGGTGTTTCTCAGTGTTTCTTGAACAGGTTTAGTGAGATACAATAGATAATAAACTTCATACATTTAATTACATGATTTGATATGTTTAGAGGTAAATGTATACACTCATGAAAACATCATGATCATGAAGGTAAATATAATCGTCACTACCAAAAATTTCCTCTTGTCCTGCGTAACCCTTACCTCCCACCCAGCCCTATCCCCCAGGCCACCACCATGGGATTTTGGTCACTTTTGACTTGCTGTCATATCTAGAATGTTATATAAATGAAGTCATACAAAATGTACTCTTTCTTGTCTGGCTACTTTCAGTCATAGCAATTGCTCTGAGAATTCTCCCTCCATCTTGTAATCTGTATCAATAGTTCATTCCTTTTTATTGCTGAGAAGTATTTCATTGCATGGGTATCGCACCATTTTGTTCATCCAACTCGGTTGTTACTGGACGTCTGGGTTGTTTCTGGTTTGGGGCTGTTACACTTAAAGCTGTTATGAACATTCACATGTCGGTTTTGTGTGGACACAGGCTTCCATTTCTTTTGGGTAGAGACAGTGGGAGCAGAATGGCTGACTCATATGACATGTGTGTGTTTAATTTTTATATTCCCACCAGTGGTGTGTGAGTTCCAATTCCTTCACATCCTCGTCAGCACTTGGTAGGGCCAGTCTTTCTTTTTTTTCCTTGAAAATTTTTTTCCAGCTTTATTGAGATATAATTGACATATAACATTGTGTAAGCTTAAGGTGTACAACATGATGATTTAGTATATGTACATATTGTGAAATGATTGCCACAATAAGGTTAACACATTCATCACCTCATATATTTACCAAATTCTGTGTGTGTGTGTGTGTGTGTGTGTGGTTGGTCAATCTCTTTATTTGTACCCATTCTAATAGGTGTGTAGTGGACTCTCGTATTTTCTTCTCAGAGTTTTTAATTTGCATTTTCCTAATAACCAATGATGTTGAGCATCTTTTCATGTGCTTATTTGCCATCAAATACATCTTCTTTGTTAAAGCATCTGGTTACACCTTTTGCCCTTTTAAAAACTCAGCTGTTGAATTATTATTGAGTTTCAAGAGTTCTTTATATATTTGGGATACAAAACCTTTATCAGATATGATTTGCAAATATTTTCTCAGAGCCTGTGGCTGTCTTTTCATTCTCTTAACAGTGTCTGATGAGGAACAGAAAATTTTAACTTTGATTAAGTTCAGTTTATTTCTTTTATGTATTATGCTTTCAGTGTCATCTCTAAGAAATCTTTGCCTAACTCAAGGTCACAAATGTTTTCTTCTAGATGTTTTATAGCTTTAAGAATTTACATTTCTGTCTGTGAATCATTTTGAATTAATTTTTTATATAATATAAAGTGTGGATTGAAAGTTCTATATTGGCTTGGTTTCAGGGTTTTTTGCATATGGATATCCAATTGTCCCAGCACTATTTGTTGAAAACATGATTTCAGTGGAATTGCTCTTACACCGATTTTGAACATCAGATGTTCAGATAAGTGTTGGTCACCGTAGACAAAACATCAGTCCGTGAAAACCAATTATATTTCTATCCATTATCAATGAGCAATTGGTTGAAACTTAAAAATATATGCAACTTACGCAATAGCATCAAAAAGTATGAACCACTTATGGATAAATCTGACAAAAGATGAGAAAGACCTGTACACTAAAAACCACAAACCACTGCTGAGAGAAATTAAAGCAGACGTAAACAAATGGAGACATATACAATGCTCGTGGGCTGGACAAATCACTATTGCTAAGGTAACCATATTCCAGCCCCAACTCCAAATTCCACAAGCTTTCTTGCAAAAATTAACAAACTGATTCCAAAATTCGCATGGAAATGCATAAGACCCAGTATAGCCAAAACAACTTTGAAAAACAACTTTCTATAAGTTGGAAAAATAACATTCTGATTTTAAGACTTATTATAGGGTTACAGTAATCAAGACAATGTAGTATTAGGGTAAAGATGAACAGAGGGCTAACAGAAGAGACTGCACCTAATGTTTTTAAATGAGCTTGGAAGGGAAGTGGATACAAATTATTAAATTTGCTACTTGGTGCTATGATCCTGATCAGAAATTCTAGAGAGAAGCCCATTCCTCATCACCAGTGGAACAAATAATATAGTCTCAGATATGTTCCTGCTAGTTTGCCATGCTAACAGCTGCAGCAAATTGCTGTTATCTGTTCTTAGTCAAAAGGCATTTTAGGAGGGGAAACCCATCATCTTGGGCAAGAAGTAATTTACTTCTTAAAGATCCTCACAACCTGAAAGGTTGCAGACGATTTCCCAAAAGCAGCTAAAGATGAGGATTTGTTTGAAGATAAATACATCTCACCAACTTGGGTTTTGTTGTACAGGTATTAGTATGCTTTGGGGTTTTACAACTTTTGTGTCTTTAAACATTTTTAAAACCATTTTTCAGAATTCTGGGGAGTTTTGCCCAAACCTTTCATTTTCTATTTCAGATCAATTTTATCTAGTTATTATTGTTTTGTGCTGCTACTCATAGCAAAAAAAGTCATAAAAACTTAAATGCACAAAATATGGGATTTATTGAACTCAACCTAGATGTTCAACAGTGGAAGACTGCATAAATTAAATGCAGTTCTTTCAAATAATATGCATCATATTATTCAGTTTTTACTAGAAGATCTAGAAGTAGCTATCACTGAGTAGGGAGACACCATAGGTTGTATGCATGTGTGTGTGTGTGTGTGTGTGTGTGTAGTTGTCTGCCTTTTCTTATTTTTCTGTCATAATTTAAATTGGCTTTGTAAAAAGAAAATAAAACTACAAAAGAAGTAGCTCAAAAAAAGTTATAGAATTTGGGGATTTTTTCAGAACCATTTTTAACTAATTACAGCAGATCTTGTTTGGCAATGTTTTCATGACTATAAATTTTGCAAATTG